TCCAATACAAACTACTATTGACTTTACAAGTAAACAAAAATTGGCCATTTGATTTTGGTTCTAATCCTGGTTGGTTTATTGGTTTGCATGTGCCTCTGAGCAAGTCTGTTGTCTTCATCTACACTGTAGGAGGTCAGCTCTTCCATCAACCCTTAGTGCCTGCTTTGCAGCAGTGATTCAGCCCTGAGTAGGCTGTTGGGAAGCTGCCTTAGTCAGGGTAGGTTGATGTGGGCAGAGATGCCAGGAGGAAGGGTTAGACCAGGGGCTTTTTGTGGCGCCTGTTCTCATATCATTTTACATGTTACCACTTTTATATTTGACCAAAGAGAGTAAGTACACTGTTTTAAAGCAGGGAGAAAGTGTCAAATATTTGGCAAGTATCCATTAGATATTGCAGAGGTTTATAATAGGTACCTGGGTTTATAAGTGCTGTTTCCTTACAAATTTGAGAAATCTTGAACGTTTCTGAGAAGAATAGAGGAATGATTTTTGCTGATGAGAAACGTAGATAAACTTAGTCTGAGGTGATAGTCTTTCCTATCTGGGTCTATTTTCTCTCTCAGACCAGAATGGTTTCTAACTAGTGTGTGGTGATAAATGTAAAAAATATCTGGGGTTTCTTCTTGTGTCTTTGCCAATGTGGAAGGTAGGGGTGGAATGGCAAGTGGGACCAAACCTGAGCACTGGGGGCTGGAGAATTGTAACTCTGAGTGGGAAGGACTTAGGCAGGTAGATAGTGAGAGGTGGGAGAGTATAGTGCTTCCTATCCATGCTTTGTAGTGCATCCTGTGGACTTGGCCACGTTTACTCTAGATTTAAGATTTGAGACTTCCCTAAAGAAAATATAAGCAGTCCAAAAAAGATTTTTAAAGAATATGTGAGAACTTTGGTGGGGCTTTTGGTCTTCATCAGATTGCAGACAGCTTGTCTGGGTTAACCCTGTCTGATGAGACCTCCTGTAAACCTGTATTTACTCTAAGGAGAGTATTAAGTTGAAAAGGCTTGAGCCTCCTGCCTTTCCATGTGACTGATTCTTAACAAGGAGAGCCCAATACATGTCTTTCTATTCACCTCGGTGTTTAAATTAAGATTACTGATTTTAAAAGGCAGTGTTAGCTAAATTGTCTCAAGAGGAATAACTTTGTTGAGATGTGTAAATATAAGGAAGATTCTATTTCCATAAGAAGTTTGTGAGGGATCAAGCAAAAAAGAAAAAGGACTCAGGGACATGAACAACAGTGTGGTGATTGCGGGTGAGGGGAGAGGTGGAAGAGGGTAAAAGGGAGATAAATGATAATGGACAATACACAATAAAAATAAAATTAAAAAAATTGCGACGCCACTTTATCACATTTGGTCCAGCACTCACAAGTCAGTATCCTTCACTGTGTTGCAGGGGCTGGAATTAAGATGAGTCAGACTAATGCAGAACCTGAGTTAACTTAGTTTTCACACCTGATTGCATGTTAGAAACACTGAGGTAGCTTTTGAAAAATACAAATTCCTAGACCTCACCCTCAGAGATTCTTATTCACTGAAAAAGCTGATCTGGATTGGACCAGGAAATGCTCATGTTTGCACGAATTAGTGACTCAGTCTCCCAACATACTCCAAATCTCAAATTCTTAACTTCATTCCAGGTGCTATTAAATCCAGTGCTTTTTAACCCCATGTTTTTGTTGTTTTGCTGTTATTCCGGAAAGATGGCCACATGATTGTGTGTTTTTAATGAGCATTCAGTTTTGCATAATACAACAGTTGTTCATTCAGACATCTTGCTTTGCCATTGAAGAGCAGTCAAGTGCCTGTCTCTCTAACTGCAAATCCCTCTTAATGAGTCCTTGGGTAGTTCATTTGTTCATTTAGCAATACTGACTGAAGACCTGTTGTGTGGCTAGGCACAGGTCTGGGTGCCAGGGATATGCCAGTAAATAACATAAACTTTGTTTTATATTATCACGGAGTTTATGTATTTCCTGCTGGTGGAGAAGGTAGGCAAGAAATATGCTCTTGATTTGTGGTAAGTATAATGAAAAATAAGGTATGGTAAGGAGTTAAGCCACTTTTAAAAAATATTAAACCATGTTTTTATTTCACCAGAATGTAATAAATTACTTGCAATCAGAACCATCGTTTTTTTTCCTTTCAGATACAAGTTAATGCTGGGTGAATCCTGTCTTGGAGGTTGCCTTTTCCCTGGAAATAGCTATTAGAATGTTCACTGTCTCCTCACTTTCTTCTGCTTATCAGAGCATAATACAGTATAAGATGGTAAAGGACAACTTAGGTTTTGAAAATGTGCATAAATTCACATGTGTATAGTTACCATGTATATTTAAGTTTTTACTGTTGCTGTCTTAATGATAAAGCCTAATAAAGTTATACTTGTATACTGCATTTTCCCTTGTGAAATATTACATACAGCAAAGTGAACAAATACACACTAATGTGACCATCATTTATGTCAAGAAGTTATTTTTAGTAACCCAGAAACTCCCTCTTCCATGTGTCCTATCCTGATCAAAATCCTCCGCTTCTCATTTTTATAACTACCAACCTTTCTTGAGCATCATTTCCTTGCTTCCCCTTCATAGTTCACCTGTTTGTATCACTAAGTGATATACTTTAATATTGCTTGTATTTGAACTTTGTATGTGTAATTATACTCCGTATTTTATTTTGCTGCTTTTTCTCATGTTGGCGAATCATCCATGTGCTATGGATATCCCTATCAGCTACTGAATAGATATACTACAGTTTATCAGTCCTGTTATTGATGGACATTTGGGTTATTTCCAGTTTTTGGCTAACATGAACAAAAGAGCATTTTTGTTCAACTTTTGTAGTGTACATGGGTATTTTTTTAAAGACTTTTTAGAGAGGGGGGCATGGAGGGAGAAAAAGAGGGAGGGAAACATCCATGTGTAAGAGAACCATTGATCAGTTGCTTCTCCCTTGCCCCCAACCAGGGACCTGGCCAGCGACCAGACATGTGCCCTATCCTGGATTCAAATGGCGACCTTTTCGTTTGTGGGAAGTCACCCAGCCCACTGAGCCACACCTGTCAGGAGGGTATTCTTTAGAATATGTATCAAGAAGGGGACTTGTTGTCATAGGATATGTCAAGTTTCAGCTTTACGAGACACGTTTTTCAAAGTGGTTTCCCAATTTATACATAACTGGCAGTTTGTGAGAGTTCCTGTTGCTCCACATCTTCATGAATACTTAAATGTATTTCTGAATAGTAACTAGTGAAAAAAAAATTGGTGTTAAAAACTATCCAATGCTTCAAACTTGAAAATTGCTTTAGAGAAGTCACTTCTCAGAGGTAAAGTAATAGAAATAATACAGTTGTTGGGATTGTGCAGGCATCGTAAGTACTTCATGTGAATTATCTCACAAAATCTTCAGGGAATCGAAAAGCCATAGGTCCTTCACTATTCCTATTTTACAGTTTAAAAAAAAAAGTTCAGAGGTATTAAATAACAGGTATTCAACTAGACACGACCTATTGAAGACAAATTCAGGTTTTGTCCCCAAAGTCCACCGTAACGGCCGTGCTTTATTTCCTTTTCCCTTTTTCAACTATTGATATAGCTCTGGAAACTGATCCATGAAGAATGGAAGGGATAACCTTTATGATTTTAGGCAGATCTTTGAGGGTGTTTTTGTGCACACAAAATGATGAAAATGGGTCTTGCAATTCCTCGTGATCTCTCCACAATAACTTTCTACAATGGCTGGGCCACAAACTGCTCTGGTAAGGTTTTTGTCCAATACTCGAAAAAGAAATGTGCTAAGATTATGTTGTAAACTTCACTTGAGCAAGCCTAACGACCAACGGAAAACAAAACCCTTAACGACATCATTACCAGGTCTCAGAAACGATACGCGTTACAGCTTGGACCCTCTTTTCCCCCTTTTGTTGCTATATGAAATATTTTAATTTTTACTATCTTACTAAAACAATAATATGATAAATCAATTTAGTGAGTTATGGTAATTGATGTAAGATGTACCTACATGTAGTACACAGCCCGTGGGGAGATTAAAATTCAGTGGGAAGGTCATGCCTATGCTCCAAAGTAAATGTTAGTGTAACTAATGCGGCCTGTCTGTGCATTAATGAGATAACTTCCAGAAGGATGGATTCTGGAATTACGTCAATGAGCTTAGGTTGGAAACAGCCTCTTGCAGGTATCTGGCGGCCCCAGAGCGGCCCGTTTTTCTTACCAATGGACCAGTCTGTTAAGAAACATGTAAAATGTGCAAAAGCAGTCATTCTTGAGTCCAGGCAGCCCTAACCCAGCAACCCTGGCTGTAAGGGTAGGACGGAGGGTGGGCTGCCCTGGGCCCTGGTTCCGTGAACGCAGACTGGCTTCGCGAACCAGCGGTAATGGCTGGCAGCAGGCACGGCGGCTGCCCATCCATCCTAGGCCACCAAGCTATGATTTCTCTGCCCTAACCTCAGGACGTCTGTCTTTGATAGGGCAAGTACTTCTTGGCAGGACTCTATTCTACAAGTTTCATTTTATTGAAACACAGAGAAGAGCCTGCATGAACTTGCTAGCCAAACGGCGACTTCGACTTCCGCAATTTCTCCAAGGGCGGGGCGCTGGCGCCGGGCTTGACCACGCCCCGAGCTTCCGGATTTGGGTACAAAACAAACCTCCACCTAAAACGACTTCCCCACGGGTCTGCCCCAACTTGCTGTTTTTGCTCAGTCCTTCACGGCGCGTTTCCTGGCCCTCCACCGGAAGCTGAAGCGGCCGAAACCTCACTTCTGAAACCAATCTAGTGAGAGGGTTTAAGGAGAGGTCTCGCGAAGTGTTTTTAAATCTCACGAAGGGTTCGAAGAGGCCTAACTATACCTCCCCAAGTCTTACGTCACCGCGGAGCCACGCCCTTGGGCGTTCGTTTGCGTGAGCACGCCCGTGCTGCGCATGCGCACTCGCCCTCACCCCCCCCGCCCCTCGACTGGCTTCTCTCTGACCAGTCGCGCGTGGGCTGAGGCCCTGGGCGGGCGTTGCGAAGGCTCGCTTCCTTCAGTCCGGTACCCGCCGCGGGCCGGAGTTCCCTTCCTCGGGGACAAGGAGGTGCAGACCCTCTACCTAGGGTGAATGCACTGTCGCATGTGCTTCTGAGGGTAGGCTGGGGAGCTCGGGGCCGGGGGCCGCGACCATGAACTCACCCGTGGACCCCGGCGCTAGGCAAGCGCTGAAGAAGAAACCGCCGGAGCGGACCCCTGAGGTAAGGTCGGGCGCTTCCCGCTGTCCTGCGAACGGCTTACCTTGTCGGGCTGGAAACTGCGGTGACTGTCCCCTTGCCGGAGATTCACACCTGCTGCGAGACTCTGGGTCCCCGCACCCGGGCCCTTCTCTCGGGCGGGCGACGACCGCCTTACCCGAACTCCGGTCCTTGCCGGTGACTTCCTAGTGTTTTCAGTAAGAAAGCACCATTTACCAAATCCTTGATTTTTCAGGATAAAAGGTGGGTCTTTGAGTTAGATTACCTGTAAGTAGAATGAAAAATGAGGTAGAAATTCTAAGTGAAGTGTATGTAACAGCCATGTTAAGAAATAACTTCTCTTTAAAGGTCTCTGAAATACTGTGCAAGGGCTTAAAAAATATAACTTTCAAAATCGGTTTCAAACTTTGCATCCAGTCAAATGATGAATTCTGATGGAGGATGATGCATATTTAAAGATCAGTTCTGGAAGTACTTTTTCACACTGTCATTGGGAAATTCTTCAGTACTTTGTGCTTGAATCCAAAACTTGCTGTATTGGGTTAGCAGTAATGGCATCAGCTTAAATGATTTTCATTTGACCAAAAGGCTCGTTTTCAGGTACATCATTAAAACCTGTTAACCTTGTATAGTCTTACGGAGTGCTAAGTTTTGGGGGACAGGTTTTCCTTGATTTGGAGAATCCTATAATAAATTGCATGTTTCCTACATCAGAATGCAAAAACAAAAAACAATGTGAGTGGATTGTTGGATGTCCTATGTATAGTTGCAGTAAGTGAAATTAAAAGCTTTGGTTAATTCTTCCTAAATCACTTTTTGAATTTTTCAGATTTTTAGCTTTTTGCCTCGTAGGTCTCAGTAACTTTGGGCTCATGTTTTGTAACATTATTCAAGCCATAATTGTCACTTTGATGGTTAAAACTTCATAGCTCAAGATCGTGATCTTTGCATGGAAACAGGCAAATATTGTCACTGTGTAGAGTCCTTTTTTTGAGACCTGCTTTTAATACTCCCAAGTGTTTTAATTTCCCTGTGATGATTCTTGAAGTAACTGTGAGCTAATTGAAAGCGTTCACCTTGAACAGGTGAACCTGCCATAGCTTTTACATCATTAGAAAGTCATGCAAGGCTTGCAATATATGTTAGTTTACTTTTAAATATTATTTATGGTACATTGACATTTTAATGGGGAAATCCTACTTTTCCTTTAAAACAGAGTTAATCTAGTTTGAAATTGCCTATTTTTGAGCCTTTCTAAACTGTTCACAATGTTGGCCTGTTAAATATTTTTTGTTTTACTGGAACAGCAGCACGGTTCAAGGGAATACTAAACAACTGTCCACAGTGCAGAGACTAGAGCCTTGACATCTTGCTGCATAGCCTGTTAACTGCTTAATTCATTGGAAGTACTTTTGAATGAATGTAGAATTTGGGACACAGAAATATGAATAAAGAGGTAACCTGAATCCTAGTGATAATTTATATGTGATAAGTAATTTGATGAAATTCTCAGTAGTTCATTTCTATTTTCACAAAATCCTTATTTAGTGTACTCTTAAGGGTCGAACATTAATAAATTCACTACATAATTATTTATTGAAAGCTTACCAGTTTAAGGCACTCTTCTGTGGACTAGGATGTACCAGTAAACAAAACACATCTGCCCTAGTGGTGCTTATATTTTAATAGAAGGGGGAGGGGAGAAGGCAGATTAATACAGTAAACAAGTTACATAATATGTTAGCTGATAATTGCTAATTAAAAAAAGCAGGATAAAGGGATTGGAAGCAAGGGGCAACGGCTGGGTTGCAGTTTAAATAAGATGGTCAGTATTCTGGTAGAAAAGACTTTTAATTAAAGGCTTGATGTATATGGGGTTAGCCATGGGGCAGTATGGGGAAAGAGCTTTCTAAGTAGAGAGAATAGTCATTGCCGAGGCCCTAAGATGAGAACATGTCTGGTGCTTTGGAGGCATAGCAAGAAGCTCTGAGTGTAGGAGAGTGAACAAGGGTGAGGATAGCAAGAGGCGATGGTGGTGGGTGGTATAGGATGAGGCATATCATGTAGGACTTTCTGAATCATTGTAAATTCTTTGACTTTTATTTTGCATGAAAGAGGGAACTGCCAAAAGGTTTGAAGCAGAAAAGAGATGTTATACCTTTCAGAGAGTACCCCCGCTGCTTGTACTCTCTCGACCAGGGGTAGAAAGAAGCAGGAACATCAGCGAAGAGCCTATCACATTAAAGCAGGAAGAGATGATTATAGTAACTCAGATGAAGGTGATAGTAATGCAGGTGGTGAGAAGTAATCAGTTGAGGAAGTATTTTGACGGTTTAGCCAGTGTAATTTGCTCACGAGTTAGATATGCACTTTGAGGGAAAGAGAAGAATTAAGCAAGGTTTCAAGGTTTTTGGCCTGAAATAACCAGTGTATTGGAATTACCATCAAAGAGAGTTTGAACTGCCGTCAGATAGATGGGGAAAGCTGCAGAAAGAGTAGGTTTTTGGGGGGTTTTCAGAAATTCAGTTGTGAACATGTCATGTCAGAAATGTCTATTAGAAATGTTGAGGAAGAAGCTTCACATACAAATTTATATTTCTAGAGAGAAGACTTGACCGAGGATAGATGTTTTATAGTCATTAGCATATAGATATTATTTAAAGACAGGAAGCCAGATAAAATTACTAAGGTAGTGAGTGTACATAGAAAATAGAAGGGGGCCAAAGACACTGCTCTGTGGCACTTGAGCAAAGAACGACAATGGAAGCAAACAGCACAGTAGAAGAAAAACAAGGAGAGAGGTGGTGTCCTGGAGACCAAGCAAATCAGTGCGTGATAGAAGGGGACGCGATTCATTCCTTCAGCCTGTTGTTCCTTGAATACCTACCAGGTGCAAAGAATTCTAGGGGAAAAAATACAAATAAGAATCAGTGTCATAAAATCTTGAAATCAGATGTTTGTATCATATCATTAAATGAGTAAAGACTCTTCTGTTTGTTTCTAGGACAAAATGAATGGTTCTTTTATTTTGAACCATCTGTTGTCCTTATGTGAAACTATCAGCTCAAGCATAATCCTTGCAAGCCAGACACTGAACGTGGAAACGTGTTCTAAAGTATGCCATTTAGAACTGCGTTCTAACACAGTCTTTATTTTTCTGGGCATTTCTCCTGCTTTGTAGCTTCAGCCTCCACAGTACATTGCCTTTCTTGAGTTAGTTCTTTGATTTCCTTTCTCTTCGCAAAGATTTTTTTTAGTGAACAATTTTAGACTTAAATACTTTGTGGGAAGCCTAAGGCTCTAAAACAACAAAAGCTGTTAAGGTATTCATTTTCAAAATTGAGACCTTGAATTTCACTGTTTCTCAACTCAATCAGTAGTCAACACGGTTGTCCTTCAGAGTGAGCTCCTTCTCTCTCTCTCATGGTTTAGTTCCCTTTCTGAGTGCTTAATACCATGTTTTGGACATATTCAATGACCAATGAATATATTAAGCAAAACAAAATTTAGAATTAATTTTGTAAACTACTGATGTTAAAAAAGATGCTATTTACTGTTCATTAGAACTGCTGATTTTGTACATCTGGGTAGTCTCACTCAGCCACTTGGCTTCAGTTAATTTTTATAGGCTGACACCTGGGACTATATAGTTCCTCTTACCCCTGCTCATGTGTTTCAGATCCACATACCTCACCATTAAATTGTCTCTAGATTCTTCCATCACTAGTTCTAAATAGAAGTCATCATTATTCCCCCTCAACATTCTGCTGGTGACTGCCCCAGTTGCTCAATCAAAAAAACTGTGTTTTTACTCTGGATTCCTCATGCTATCTTCCTCACTCTGTCCAACTGGCCACTAAACTTGGTTGATTTAATATCGCAAATCTCTTTCTACCTCTGTTTTCCCAGCTCTACTACCCTAGATCAGGCTCTTTTATCACTTTACCCCTGAATTTTTTGCTTGAGTCATTTATTGTCATTGCTAAAGTGGCCTTTCTAATACTTATGTTCTACTCTTGCTCAGAATTTAATTATTCCCCGCTGCCTAATAAGTTAGCAATATAAGTTATCATATAAATCATTTTGGGGAATAAAAGAGGTACTATTAATATTTATGCCATTGATAGAATAACAAGTTAAAAAGGGACTTGTAAAAGGGAAAAGCTTACCTCACCCAGATGATAACATTGTTATCTATTCGTTTAACAAATGTTATGTCACACAAAATAAAAGCCAAGGTTATAGAAAGAAATTGGACATGGTCCCTGTTCTTCAGTAACTTTAGGAGACAGGCATAAAACATCAGTAAAATGTTAAGGTTACCAGTAAGGAAGGTGTGGATAGTGCACTTTGCAACTGCAAGTGGAGAGAGGAAAGGTGTCTTGGAGAAGCTTTACATTGATCTGTAAATATCCTGAAGAGCTGGATGATACCCAGAGTGCAGGAAGCAGCAGGCGCAAAGGCACTAATGGTGACAAGCCAGGGACGTTTGTAGAAAGAAAAGGCAGTGGGGGTGATGTCATCCCCAAAGGGACAAAAACTGGGTTTTTTGGGAGGTGAGTGAAAAAAAATCTTAGATATTCCTGTGGTTTGTGGCCCTCTAAAACTAACCTCTACCTGACAAAATCTTATTCCTTATATTTGATTGGGGGTGGGCAACAACTGGGGGGAAATATCTAAAAATGCTCTTCATAAGGGTTGTGATAATGACAAAAGGTTGCAAAACACCGGCTCATGTACGAGGTGGTGGTGGGCGGAGTATGGTATTGGATGTTAGATGTTGAAGCTGGATGTACTTGCACAGTTCCATCATTTCAGGGATTTGGACTCGATTTTGTAAATAAAGGAGCTCCTTTGGAGGGGTTAAAGCCTAGAGATAAGAGCAGTTTTACAAAGATTGCTCTATGGACATTGTTAAAAATATATGGACTATACTAGAGGCAGGGAGACTTTATAGGCAAGTTGAACATAGAACATTTTGTCTAAACTGGGATACTCCTCTG